GGGGGAGGAGGAGGGGGAGGCAAGGGATTCCATGGAAGCCCAGTCCCTGGCAAGTCAGTCCTTACTGGTGAGGCAGTTCTTAAGAATTCATTCATTCATTCATCATCGATCCGCACAACGAACAGATGGCGCACATGCTCTGTGTGCCGGGAGACAGGTGTTTGAGATGTTGCACCTGTCTTGGCTGACCGTGGGCTCTAAACAGACGCGGACAAGGAATCGATGCAGTCGGGGGTGTAGTGCAGCGTTAAGGTCCAAAAGGAGGGTGTAGGGGCTGACGGGCGCCTGCCATTCCCCCTGGTGGCAAGCATCACGCGGGCTCACATCTGTGCACATACCTTATTCAAAACGGGGTCAGAGTCGCTCTGGCCTTGCTTCCTGGCCCCCCTCTGCCGCCGCCAGCTTCTGCACGCCCCCCAGGAGAGCGCACGCGCCCGAGGTGGCCGTCCACGTGGGCAGCCAGGACCGCGCAGGCCGCAGCAGCCTCACCCTACCGGGTGTCCTTCCCCGCACCAGCCGTGGTGGGCGCCTGGGTCCCCACTGTGGGCGTTCGGATCCCCGCTGTGGGCGCTTGGGTCCCCGCCGTGGGCCCCTGGGTGGGCTCCGTCCTCTGCGGGAACCCCCACTTGAAGCCTATGCCCGACAGGCAGAAGAGCCTGTACTGGCCGTTGGCGGACAGCAGCTGGCCCTCGACCAGCGGGTGGGCGCTGGACTGCAGGCCGCTGGGGCGCCGAAGCTCACCTGGCGCCCCCTGCTGCTGCTCCTGCGCAGGTGCCGCACGCAGACGTGGGCGCTGCCCGACTCCGCGGTGATGGGCTCGCCCGGCCACAGCAGCAGCTCCTGGGCGCGGCCGCCGGGGGCTCAGTACTGTGCGCTCCAGTGCACCCCGAACCGCAGCTGGATGCTGGGGAGACGGGCTTGGGTCACCCACCAGGAAGTACTTCCCGTGGTCTACCCCGTTCCCAGGCTGGACATTCTGCCCCTTCATCCCTCCTGTACAGCCGCTCTCTTCCTTGGGAGACAACCTCTCCAGCTCCCACGTTGCCTCCCTTGGCCTTCTCCCCAAAAGTGCACTCGGTCTCCCCACAGGTGCTGCTGACCCACATCACGGCTGCTCCCTCCAGCCTCTGCCTCTTTGGGACACGTCCCCCTATCAGTCCCCAGAGTCTCGCCCGGGGGTGGGTGTGCACCCGGGTATCCATTCCTGCGTGTCCTGTGGGCTGCGTGGTCGTCTGTGAGCTGGGTGGGCGAGGCCAGGCTGAGGTGTGCTCTGGGCAGCCACCTGGTGTGAGGCCAGTGAGAAAAGAGCTTCCGGGGGTGGGGCACCTCTTCCTGGGCTGCACCTCTGTCCCTCTGCCCCGCTCACCAGCTTCCCTTTCAGGAGACGCCCCTCTTCCCAGGCCACCCCGAGGAGCCCGCAGTGGCCACACTGAGACCCTTCCGCAGCACCCCCTTGTCTAAGCTGACAGGAGCAGCGGTGGGCCTGACCCAAGCAGCACCAGGCTGACTCTCAGGGCCGGGGCCGGGCCGGGTGGGCTGTGCCTGTAGCTTGTGCAGTGACCTGCAGATCCGAGCCCCGCGAAGCTGGGTTCCACCGAGGGAAGAGGACGGCCCTGCCTGTCTTCCAGCCCCGTTCCAGCGTCTTCTGAAGCCCAGCTCATTCCTGCTCTTACATTCTAAGACCCACCCGGAGCAAGATTGCAGATAAAATGCAGGATACCCGTGAGATTAGATTTTCAGATAAACAACGAATACATTTTTTACATAAGTGTATCCCAAATATTGCTTTTTTAAGTAAGATTCTATCTCAAATATTGCCTTTTTTTAGCGTATGGCTGAAATATTGCTTTTTTTTTAGTATGAGTATGATTATATCCCAAAGATTGCATATTTTAGTGTAAGTATGTCTCAAATGGAGTCTTAAATGATGCAAATAGTTAACCAGCTCAGCTGCTGACTGAAAGATTGGCGTTTGAGTCCACCCAGAGGCACCTCAGAAGAAAGACCTGGAGATCTGCTTCTGAAAAATCAGACACTGAAAACCCTATGGAGCATAGTTCTTCTCTGACCCACATGGGGTTGCTGTGAGTAGGCGTCAACTCAGTGGCAACTGCTTAGGTTGGATGTCTCAAATATTGCTTTTTAAAAGTGTGAGGATATCCCAAATATTGCATTTTTTTTAGTGTCAGTGGTGGCGCAGCTGTTAAACACTCGGCTGCTAACTGATAGGTCTGTGGTTTGAACCCACCAGCTGTCCTGAAGGAGAAAGATGTGGCAGCCTGCTTCCGTAAAGATCGCTGCTGTTGTTAGGTGCTGTCCAGTCGCTTCCGACTCATAGCGACCCTAACAACAGAGCTAAACACTGCCGGGTCCCTGGCCATCCGCATGATCATCGTTATGCTTGAGCCCGTTGTTGCAGCCACTGTTATCAATTCATCTTGTTAAGGGTCTTCCTCTTTTTCACTGACCCACTACTTTACAGAGCATGATGTCCTTCTCCATGGACTGATAACATGTCCAAAGTACATAAAACAAAGTGTCACCATCCTTGCTTCGAAGGAGCATTCTGGCTATACGTCTTCCAAGACAGATTTATTCGTTCTTCTGGCAGGCCATGGTATGTAAAGTCTCAGCCTTGGGAACCTCTATGGGGCAATTCTACTCTGTCCTATGGGGTCAAAATGAGTTGGAATCGACTTGATGGCAATGATGTTCCAAATATTGCATGGGGTATACTTACACTAAAAAAAAAATATATCCTTTTTCTGAAATTGAAATTTAACTAGATGTGCTGTAATTTTATTTGCTATATCTGGCAATCCTGGCTCAAGACTCCTTGGGCCCTTTGGGAGAAGGATAGGCTCCAAGAGGCAGACAATGGGGACAGCAGTCAGGAGGGGCGGTTCAGAGGAGAGGCTGGCCCTCCTGGGACAGAGCCAGGGCCCCATGGGGGGGACAGAATTGCACGTTAGTTAGGAGTCGGGAGAAGACAAGGGAGATCTGAGCATTCGCTTGCTGGGGTGAGTTTCTGTTGCTTACCACCAAGGGGCCCTAAGGCAGCAGGAGGAGGGAGGTCCCAGTATTCCCACCTGACATGCAGGTGATTGACCCTTTGCTACCCAGAGCACCCTTAGCCTCACTTAAGTCTGGGTCATGTCCTCTCTGCTCCAGCAGGTCCGGTGCAGCCCAGTGAGGTGGAGGGAGTGTTGCGGTGGAGGACACTGAGGTGTGGGGGCAGGACCCACTGCAGGGCCCCCCGTGGTTGAAACTGTCTGCAGAGAAGCAGGGCCAGGACCGGGGGGAAAGCCCTGGAGCCTGAGTCCTACTCACCCCTTGATGACGCCAATGATCCCCACGAAGATGCGGATGCTGGATCTCACCCAGCTCTTCCCACGGGACGGGACGTAGAAGTAGGAACCGCCTCCCAGCCCTGCATCTCGGCAGAGAAGGTTCGTATTAATGGAGAAGGGAGGCAGGAGATGTGGGGGTTGCTCTCCGCATCTTCAAGCGTTTGGTGCAAGTCAGCCAGCGGGCTGGGGTGCCTGCAGAGCGGACGCTGAGGCCAGGGCGGCTGGACTGCGGAGGGCCTCACCCTACGTGCGGCAGGCAGGACTCGTGAGGAGGACAAGGGTCAGGGCCAGCAGCATGGTGCCAGATGCCTGAGGACCTGGGCCTCGGGGTCAGGAGGAAGGCGGGCGAGGGCAGCTCCAACAGAGGCTCTGGCGGAAGGCGTCAGGGCTGAGGACCCCTGGAGGTTGGGCAGGGGACAAGAAGAAGGCCAGGGCCTGCCCCACAGGAAACCAGCTCAGAGGCCAGCACCTGGTTCATGCTCTCCGCTGCCACCATCTTGAAGTCAGTCCTCATTTTTGAGCAGGGCCCCGGACTTTTCTTTACACTGGGCCCTGCAAAGTGTACAGCTGGTCCTGGAAGAGACCCGCTTTCACGAGGACCCCTCTCCTCCCTGCTCCCCGATCTGGTCCCAGGTGGACCAAAGCCCGCCTCCCCCACCCCCTGACCCTTACTCCCAGTGCCTTCCAAGGCCCTCCAGCCCCTGCCCTCCCGTACCTGCTCGGCTGTGGTCTCAGCCCCTCACCTGCCCTTTATATCAGGGGGGCCTCGAATACTCCACCCTCGCGGAAGACCCTGGGGGGCCTCTTGTAGGTTGTGCTGTGTTTGCATTCCTGTCCACAGCCCCCAGACAAGTGAGGCCCACAGCCCAGGCCAAGGCCGTCAGGGCATCGCCCTGGGCTCACCTGGGCACCTGGGCCTTCCCAGCCCACAGAGGTTGCAGGATGGAAGAGCCACATACGGGGCGGGTTAGGGGCATGATTGGCCTCCGTGACGCTAACCAGCCAAGTCCAAGGACGGGTCCAAAGCCAACTGACCAGTGTTTGTTTTGAGCTCCGAAGATGCACAGAGCCCTGGACTGTGGGGAGGAGAAACCAGCCTGCTCCTTCCCCACGACCGCACGAGGGGCAGGGACACAGACCAGCTGCCCAGGGTGGGAGAGGACCAGCCTTAAAGAGCAGTGCATTTGCAGTAGAGGGAACACTTCATGAATAAGGACACCCACCGAGGGTGCACTTTGCTCAGGCTGGGCTCTCGGCGGGTTATCACATTTGATCCTCGCATCAAACTGCTGCTGTTCCCATTTCACAGCTCAAAGACTGAGACCAAGAGATCCAGCGCCTTGCCCAAGGTCAGGCGGGTCGTTGGTGGCCAAGGCCAGGTTCAGTCATAGGGAGTCTAGGTCTAGAGCTGAACAGGAATCACCATGCCACCTTGGCCCCCTGAGTCCCCACCAACGCTGGAGGAGGGACACCCACCGTCGGGCCCCTCATCCTCTCCCCGGCCACCGTCACCCCTTCCTCTCTCCCTGAGCCCTGTTTCTCCCAAATGTTCCCACCCCTCATGCTTAGCCAGCCCACTCAGCGCTGCCCCGTAAGGCAACTGAGCCCACCGGGGCCACCACAGAGGAGGGATTGTCCACCACCATCTGTCCCCTTGAGGCAGGCCTGGGCTCACCTCTGGGCACAGCCAGCTGGACACTCCTGAGCTGAGGAGAAGAGGGGTTGGTGGAGGTGGGCAGGCCCTGGCCCTCTGCCCCGAAGCCTGGGAGAGATGCTGCCTGGGATGCTGTGATGCCAGGGTGGGGACGTGGGGTGACAGCCTGGTAAGCCCTCAGCAAACAGCACTCCTGGGGAAAGGGCACCAGGAAGGGTCAAACAAAGGGCTTGTGATTCAGGCACAGTCAAGCCTGAGGCTGGGAAAGTGTATTGTTGGATTTAGCTTTACAGTACGTTTTGAAATCAGGAAGAGCGAGTTCTACTTTGCTCTTCTTTTTCAAGTTTGCTTTGGCTATTCAGAGCCCTGGTAACACAGTGGTTAAGAGCTACAGCTACTAACCAAAAGGCTGGCAGTTCAAATCCACCAGCTGCTCCTTGGAAACCCTATGCAGCAGTTCTACTCTGTCCTACAGGGTGACTATGAGTAGGAATTGACTCGACATCAATGGGTTTTTGGCTATTCGGCACCCTTTTCTGTTCCATATAAGTTTAAGGACTGGCTTTTCCATTTCTGCAAAGAAGGCTGTTGGAATTTTGATGGGGTTTCCTTGAATCTGTAGATTGCTTTGGGTAATATCGACATCTTAACAATATTAAGTCTTCCGACCCATCAACATGGACCGTCCTTCCATTCACTTAGGTCTTCTTTAGTTTCCTTTAGTAATGTTTCACAGTCTCGGGGTACAAGTTCTTTACCTTCTTGGTTAAATTTACCCCTATGTGTTTTATTCTTTTAGATATTATTAGAAATGGAATTGTTTCCTTATTTTCCTTTTCAGAATGGTCGTCACTGATGTACCTGTTTTGTTTTTAAATCGACTTTATTGAGACATAATTAACATACTATGAATCCATCTATGTTGGCAGTACAGCTCAGTGAGTTTTGGCAAAGGTATACACCCACATAACCACCACCACAGTCAATACATAGAAAGCTTCCATTGCCCCGGAAAGCTCCCCTGTGACCCCTGTCACTCAGTCCCCTCCCCCCACCTGGCCCCAGGCAATCACTGATCTACTTTCCATCACCTTTTATAAAGTTTCATAGAAATGAAATCATACCATGTGCACTCTTGTGTCTGGAATCTCTTATTCAACAGCATATTTTTTTAGATTCATCTATGGTATTTGTATTTCAGTAGTTTTGTTCCATTTTATTGCTGAGTAGTATTTCATTTGATTTATACCTCATTTCAGTTAGCCACTCACTAGTTGATGAACATCTGGGTTGTTTGCTTGGAGCTGTTATCAAGAAAGCTTCTATGAACACTTGTTCATGAGTCTTTGCGTAGATGGATGGATGGATGGATGGATGGATGGATAGGTGGGGGGATGGATGGATGGATGGATGG